AATCTGGTACTCACATCACTACTATAAAATTATTGTACTTTTTGTATTATTATTACATAAATATTAGTACTCCTTTTTAATATTTAAATTGAAATACATATACGATAAAATAAAATAAAATAAACAATGGCAAAAATCATATTTTAACCCTATATTCCTACTATCACTAAAATATCAATATTAATTAAACTATCTGCAAAAACAGTTTGTTTCTTTTTTTTAAAAAAAAAAATCAAACATATTTTTTTAAAAAAAAATAATATATTATATACTTATTATTTTTATATTATTTATATAATTTTTTATACTTCAGATAAAAAAAAAAAAAGTTAAACTAAAACATAAAATAAACACACCCAATATCTATCAGAAGAAGTATATTTTAAAAATATCACATTATATAATTTTCGCTTCGATACTTTTTAAAGTTTTTACTTTATCCTTCAACAATTATTTTTTTTAAATATCATATCAAATATTTCTTAATTTTTAACAAATATCACATAAAATACATGTATTTTTTTTTGAGATAATTTGAAGAAAATTTTTTTATGTTAAATATAAAAAAATATATAAAAAAAATATATAAAAATAATAAATATATGTGATATATTAATTATTTTTAAATAAAATATGTATATATATATATATATTTTTGTTAAAAGAACACACCCCTAACATTTTGTTATCTACTTTTTTACAATGTTTCCCACTATTATATAGTTATTTCGGAAAAAATCAATTTTGGTCCAAATATAAAAAACTCATCAATTTTAGTCACAATATAAATAATTTCAATCAATTTTGGTCCCGCCGTTAAAAAACTAACGGAAATTGCTGACGTAGACATAACGGAAGGGACGTGACAGCTGACCTGAAAAGTACATAGCCATGTACAATTATACACGGTCATATTGTTGCATGGTCATGTATATTTCAGTATATACATAACCATGTTGTTACACGGTCATGTATAATTCTACACGGCCATGCACATTTTTGTTTCGGTCTAATTTTTTTTTTTTTTGTTATATTTTTTAAAAAAAATTATTTTGAATTTAAAATAGTTGATATAGTTTAAATGGACAAAATTAATAGTAATCATAAAATTATACATAGTCTTTTAGCAACATGGTAATGTATAATTATATACTGAAATATACATGGCCGTGTAACAACATGACCGTGTATAATTGTACATGGCTATGTACTTTTCAGGTCAACTGCCACATCACCTCCGTTATGTCCACGTCAGCAATTTCCGTAATTTTTTAATGGTGGAACCAAAATTGATTGAAATTATTTATAATAAAATTAAAATTGATGAGCTTTTTATATTTAGACCAAAATTGATAAATTTAGGTTATATTATGAACATAATTGATTTTTTTCCCTTTTATTTCTAATAAAAATATACTATCTCCGTCCCATAAAAAAGTATCTATTTTTCTATTATAATCCGTCTCATAACAAAGTATTCTTTTTTTATATATATATAGTAACTGTACTATCTATTTAACATTACAAATACCCTTACAACTTACAATATATTACACAAATGTCATTACTTTTATATCACATATACTAATAAGGTTATTTTAATCATTTCTATTTTATTCTTACTACGTCGCAATATAATACTAATATTTTTAAAATTACTTGTAAAAAGTAAATAGAATCTAGTTATGAGACGGATGAAGTATTAGTTTTACATATAAAATAATATAGCCAACAACTAATTCACCTAAAAACAATTCAAAACCTATAAAGCAATAGAATTAAATATGGACTAGAATATACGATTAGGACCAATTCCTCCGTGGAGATATTTATTCTTCTATTTCTTAGCCCAATGGGCCTCAATAGAGTAGAAATCATTTCAGAATCCATTTCCATTTTCATTAGAAATACTCTCTTCTTTCCGGCTACTATATCCCTTTTACTGTAAATATGAGAATTTAGAAGGAATATAATTAGTAAATAATTAAAAATATATTAGTAAAAATAATTATTGTATAATAAAAATAATTTTTGATTAAAATGAAGATAACTCATTAATCTAATTAAAATTAAAAAATTAAAAATAAAATTAAAGTGTATAATTCTTTTTTTAAAAAAAAAGTAACCGAAAGATTGAAATGAAAAGATGGATATGGTAAGTGGGACGGAGAGAGTAAAAAATTTACGTTCAAACTGAGAACTTAACAAACAATTACCCATTTCACCGGGTACGAACTTTTAATAAAAATTGATAAAAATATAAATTCTTTTTTATTTTATAATAAAGGAAAAGTAAAAAAAAAATACGGATATGTTTGTTTTGTGTTTTAGTTTGAAATAATATTTTTCTTTATTATTATTATTTTTTTTGAAAAATATGTTGGAAAATTTTCATAAAATAGAACACACTTGTGGTATTCTTTTATTTATTAAGAAGTAAAATAATACTACCTCCGTCCCACATACCGTGTCTGCTACACTGTAGACACGGTATTTTAGGAGGGATGTAATTAGTAGATAATTAAAAATACATTAGTGAAAATAATTATCCTATAATATAAATAATTATAAATTAAGATTAAGACAACTAATTAGTTTAATTAAAAATTTTTTAAAAAATTAAAAAATTTAAAATGAGATTAAAGTGTGTAGTCATTTTCCAAAAAAGGAAAGTGACATGGTATATGAGACGGATAGAAAGGACAACGTAGACATAGTATGTGGGACGGAGGGAGTAATTTTTTATGACAACAAAAAAATGAGTATAAATCTAAGTAAAAGGTGAAATATTATTTAAAAGAAAAAGTCATTAATGACATGCATGAAATAGTCTTCAAAAAATGCAGTATTTTTCACTCTCGTATTAGCGAAATGATGTACGGAATTATCATATTTGTGTACATAATTATAACACTGTATAATTAACTAATAAATTTGAGTTATTAAATAAAAGTTTAAAATAAATTTTGAAGTATTTATGTTAAACATGTACTCTACCTGATAGAAAATATAAAAAAAACATTAAAGAAATGAACTCAATATGTGTTTTATTTTTAATATGTTTTTATTGTATTTTTCGGTTACAATTATTGTGCTGAATCTTTACATTTATTATTGATTTTAATACATTTAATAGATTTATAATGTCAAACAATAAATTTATTATTGATTTTAAAACATATTCTCCCTCTCTCCCATAACTATGTATCTATTTGCTTTTTGCACGTAATTTTAGAAATATTTGTGTTATATTGGGATATAGTATGAATATAATAGAAATGACTAAAATAACTTTATTAGTACGGTGTGATATAAAAGTAATGATATTTGTGTAATATTTTGTAAGTTGTAAGGGTATTTGTAATGTTAGGTAATAGTTACTAAAAAAAAATGAATATTTTGTTATGAGACGGACTAAAATGAAAAAATAGATACTTTGTTATAGGACGGAGGAAGTAATATATTTATAAAACACAGACAAGATTTGGAGCCTGGAGGCATCGAGTTTGAACTCATTACTCATAATCATTAATCTATCTCCACACCATTAGTTTCCTTATGGACTAGTAACAAATGAGGCATGGTTGTAAATGACATACTTTCTTGTAACATAATAATTTCAATTGATATTTTGTACAAAAAAATAATAGATTTGTGTAAGTAATCGAAATGGTTATATGATTGAGCATAATTTTTGAGATAAATTATGTAACTGAATTAATATGAGATAGAGTTTGTTTCAATATTTGTAACTCTCTGAATGATTACGAGCAAAAAGCTACCAATAACATTCGATACAATCACTTAGAACCATTTTTTACTGTCCCGTCTTTGTACACATAGTTCAAAACGATTTAGTGAATACTATATCATAAATTTCTAGAAATGCTTAGCAAAAGGATAGCAAATTATTAAGATGACAATTTGTAGGCTTCTTGCGTTAGAACATAATCATCGATTTTTAATACGATATAAAAGGAAGATCATGTTAGTTGTGAAACTTGATAAGACTTACAAATAGAATTAGATATTTGTTGGCATAAGCCAACTATATGTTTAGGATTTCAATTATATTCATTTACTTCAAATTATTTTTTGATGTAATATTATAATTTCATGATTTTTTTCTAAATAATTTTTTGTGAAAATTGAGTTTATTATTTTTTTCGTTTCAAATTTAAATTAACATTATTAATCAACTATGTTTTTCAATAAAAATATATTATTTTTTAAAAAAAAAATTACATCAAAATCCTATTCAAACAAAACTCAAATAAATATCTCATTTTAAATAAATTTCAAACAATAATCAACCAAACTCATTATATTTAACGGTACCTCCAAAAATTAAATCAATTGGGATTAAATTGAATAATCTAATTCTTTGGTATCTTATATCATTTGGTTTTATTCTTTGTGATATTTTTAAAACTAAAATTTTGTTTATAACGGAGTATGAGTTACTAAATAGTGTAAGAGCACGAAAGATCATATCAAATTTAGGATTCAAATATCTATGTTTTAAGCTTTGTTGTTAAACATATTTTGCCTAATGTGACTTGCTTTATCAGTCTAAATTGTAGATTATTAAGTTTGGCCATGAATTTACCTAGTGCTCACTCGAAAAATAGCGAATTATGGATTTCACTTAAAAAAAACATAATAATAATAATAATAATAATAATAATAATAATAATAATAAATAAATAAATAAATAAATTTAAATTGGAAATTGGTTAATTGGTTAATTATGATTAAATGTATCGTTGCACATGATCAATCTCTAAATTCGAAATTAGGGTTTTGTGTATCGTTATTTATTCGTATATACATCATTATTTAGGAAATTAAACTAACTCGTTCGAATATAATGGCATAATTTTATTTTCAATAAAATGAAAGAATGTTATTCATTATATATATATATATATATATATATGAGATTGCATATTCAATACAAACTCGTAATGCCAAAAGGAACATTGAAAAGATTACTTAATTTAATAGTCGGATCCCTTTATTGGAACGACATTCTTCTTGATCTCTTCCTCAATACAGACATCATCGTCGATTGTCAGCATAATTTTCTTCGATCCATGGGGACCCTCAACGATATCTTCGTGGACTTTAACGTGTTCTTCCATTTGAACTCTATCCACTTCCTCAACGGTTCTCTTGTTTCGCTTTCGAATCCAGCAGAAAAGAGCAGCTGCAAGAGATGCCAGAAAGAACACTCCACCGATCAAAACGAAAATGTAGATGATCACCGTCGAATGGTTTCCGGGGACTGGTATCGGCGGTGGTGCCGGAGCAATATGAGGCGGCCGTGGCGGAGGTAGTGGTGGAGGGGGATGTTGTGGTGGTGGTGGTGGAGGATTTTGTGTTGGCGGGGGAGGTGGTGGAATTGGATTATTTGGGGGTTTTAGGGGTGGGGGACTATGGTGCGGCGGCAGCGGCGGTGGTGGTGGTGGAGGAAATATAACTCGGGGTGGCGGCGGGATCGCCGGCGGCAGAAATTTAGGAGGGGATGGGAAATAGGGGAAATGTTGGGGATTTTTTATTTGAGCCATAGCAGTATGGCATGAAAATTGATATGCATATATATATATATATACCAATTGGAAGTAGGTTTAATTATTATTATTATTATATTGGATTGCTTACACTTAGGTATATAGTTTTGTAGTAACTAAAACTAATTAACTTGACTTGCAGGGTGTCGTTTGATTGCATTAAAATACACTCTTTGATATTAGGGTTCATGAATGATATCTATTACATTAGGGGGCCACACGATAATATATGGCGGCAGTTAGAGTGTTGAATTTAAAATTCAATCGTGTGTTGTCCTGCAGCATATAATATTATTACCAACAACGCATTGTATATGTTAATATAATACAAATACATTACATGAACTAACAATATCTTATATATCTGATACAACATACGCAATATATATATATAAATCATTTTATGCATACACATTTTATAAAAATCATATGCAATGAAGATACTTACCTAGGGTGTGTTTGTCTGAGGGTTTGAATTTTGAGTTGTGATTTGAATAGTAAAAATTTTGAATTTTAATAGTTGTATAATGTGATATAAATAGGTGTTGATGTGATATTTTGAATGTAAAATTGATTTTTAGTATAATATAAAAAATAAAAAATAGATGTTTGATTTGATTTTTTTGAAGGAAAAAAATGGGATGAATAGTGTATTTGTGGGAGAATCCCAAACAAACACACATGTCTTCATCTTCATATCACATTAATTTTTTATTTTTTATATTATATTATATTTCTTTCAATTAACCAAAAAATACATATAATTATAAATATTTATTTTTAAAATTAAATATTTAATGTTACATAAATAATAAAATTTTATATAATATAAAAATAAAAATAAAATTCTGATGAGTATCTCTGTATAAATACTCTGAGATATTTTAAATTTGAGTTAATGAAATGGGCTTTTAGAAGAATGAGGTAACTAGGGCTTATGTTCTTCATGACTCTTTGTAATGAAATTTTTTTTTGTTCATGAATTATTTAAAAAATAAAAGAAAATAAAATCTAAAGATTAAAAATAGTAAAATATATTTAAAAATAAAGAAGCAGTTAGGAGAAAAATGAATTAAATACTGAAATGCAAATTAAGGATGCATGATAAAAAGAGGCAATGAAATGTAATTATAAATAAATCCATGTAAGCTTTCACTACATAAAAATCTTGTGAATGAATCAAATTCCCAATTGTAGCTTGGAGTCTTTAAAGTGATCGAGAGGCAGAGGCGGATTTAGAAAAAAAATTTTAGTGGTGGCACAATAGATATATTAAAAAATATATATTAAAATAATAATATTAATATTAATAAAAATAAATTATTATTAATGATATAGAAAATAATATTATAATACTACCATATATATATATTTAAAATATAAATTGATTATTTTTATTGGATTGAATTTAATTATTTGGATACTAATGACAGTTTAAATTTTAAATAATCCACTAAAATATTTTTGGTGGTGGCACAATTATTTAATTATAAAAAATTTCTTTTGATGTGATAAAATCACTGGTGGCACGTGCTACCATCATCTTCTACTTGAATCCACCCCTATCGACAGCATGATGAAAGGTTATCAAAATTCTTGTTTATATGAACTGATGAATTGGAGAAATTGCATCTACTCTGTCGAAAAATAAATCTTGAGATATTGAACCAGAATTGTTGCAACCGTTGGGGACTCTCGTTACGGGTAAATAATTAATGGTTTTGTTTCTCTAACAGTTCGAGTTTTTAGATAAAACAATCATTCTGCATCTGATATGGTTTGTGGTGTGTATAACACTATGTATGTGTGTGTTTGTGCTTTGTTAGTGTATAAAAAATTACATTTATGTTGTTTAGAAAAATTAGTACGGTTTTGTTTTCTCCAAATCAGCATGGTAACCAAAAGCAGTTTAATTGTTTATTTGGATTTTCAATCTTAATTACCGTAATAGTTAATTTTTAGTTTCGATTTCCGTTCAATTTAGTTTGAATCTATTCATTTTCTCTTTTGATAATTAATTCGTATATTTTACTCCGTCCGTCCAACTCGAATGTATTACTTTGAAGTTTTGTAATATATTAAGAAATTATAGTATTTTATTGGTTTAATAGAAGTGTGTAAGAGATTTTGATATTGTTTTATTTTATGTATAAAGTAATTGCATGTTTAACAACATATTTGTAATTTAAACAAAAATTAAATATATTTGATATCAATGTATAATTACTTTTCCACAAAGGACTTTTAAGAGGTCACAAACAAGCTTAAGGCCCATTTAGCTTCTATGAGTTGTGCCCAAAAAATTTTAGGGCTCATTTTAGATTGATTTAAAGAATTAAACAAAACTCAAAAATTAAAAATAAAAGCAAAAGACAATAGCAAAACTAACTTGGTTGTGTATTTAAATAAATTTATATAAAAACAAATTTTTGGGAAAAAAGAATATATTTAGATATAATAAAATTGAAAGTTGTTTCGAAGTATTAAAATTATCGAGAATATCATGTTGTTTATGTAAATGAATTTTTCTACTAAGTTTTTTAATTTATTTAAAATTTTATAAAGTATCTAACCTAATCGATAATATATTTTTTTATACTATACATATCAATTCTATTGGCAATTTTAATTTAATTATATATAAAATGAAAATGAAATAATTATGTGTGTTTCTTTTAGTTAAGTTTGGAAAAAATTGATATAAATTTGATATTGAAATAATATTTTTTAGTTATAAAGATATTTTTATTAAGAATAGTAAAATTGAAATAAATTTGTAATGTAATATATAATTTTGTTTAGTATTATATTTTAAATGAAAATACAAATTCTTATATAATATTATTAATAGAAAAATAGCTTTTTCATTCTATATTATATATATATATATATATTATTGACATAAATACTCTTAAGTGACCTAATTAAACTTTGATCATATCTAGAATTATCACATTGGAAGACTTAGAGGTCAACAATCATATAGGAAATCTAAATAAAATCATTTGGAGTAAACACACACACCAAGAACAAGAAGACAATGTCATTTCTCGTTCCAATCAACATAGTATTATTATTATTTTTTTATTTATTTTTTATTTCATGTTCTATATCTAAATAATGAGTCGAACTTGAGCATCACTAGCTAAAAACCTTTTAGTTGTGTTCGAAAATAAAATAATCGACTCGATCAATTTCAAACAATAACAAAATTATGTTCCAAACAACCTTTAATTTAATTTTCTTCTAAAGTATAAGCTCATATTCGGTACATACAAGAGCTACAACATTTCTTAAGCTAAAGATAAGTCGATACATGCAATCAATCAATCAACCACCGCAACCACCACAACCACCACAGCTGCTGCCGCCGCCAAGACATGAGTCTCCACAGCTAAAGTTATTACCACCACCTCCGAAAAAACCTCGGCAATTCCGAGCAGCTGCAACTGCTTCTTTGCTCTGAGCCTTAGCTTTGTTGAAGCCAAACATGGCAGATTTTCGAAGCATCTTTAATTGCTTCCTTTTTCTTGCAGCAAATGCTTTTGCCCCTAGAAGAAGTCTTCTTTCGTATCTGTGAATTGTAGTCCATGATTTGTGTCTCCTACTACCACTCTTCTTTCTTCCTCTTCGATTTCTTCTGGACAGACAGAAAAACATTGAAATAATAAGAAACTTATGCCAGATTAGGATAACTTAATTTACAAATGTGCCTTTATATACATAAGAACATACATATATATATATATATGTAGACACACAGAGTGAAACGCGGTGAAATCATTTTTATAAAATATATATATATATATATATGAAAACACGTACACGGGGAAGCACGGTGAAATTACTTTTTAAAACATATATAGATCGATCATTAGTTCATTTTTGTAATTACTCAAAATAATGCATTGTATACTACCAGAAGTATAGTAATTTGTTTCGAAAAACTGGTTTGGATATTGAACTGATTCTGAGACACAATTTTTTTTTAAAAAAAAAAGAACTTCACAATTTGCTTCGGAAAAATACCATAAGAAAAAAAGAAAAAACTTGTTGCTATTCAATTGGGTTTAGAATTTTCGAGACTCATTCAAATATTATCTAAAACTCGTAATATTGCATTGGAATAAACTCGAAATTTATGTACTTTTTAAATATTAAAAATATTATATTTATGTCAAAATACCAGTAGTATACAAGAATGTTGATACTACAAGAATGTTGGTACTAAGTACTACATATCAATGCTAGTAGTATACTATTCAACATATCATTCCGATTTTCATGTTGATTAGGTCAAATTAGTATTAACCCAATTAGCACATATATATATATATAATATTTTTTCCGTTTGCTTCTAAGGGTCACACTTATCTTTTGCGTCATTGTACTTAACATTAAAAATATTATTATATTTGTATAATCTTTTGTACAAATTTCTTTCTATCGGTATTATAAGACACTAATTGAAATATTTTGCAATTTTTTCTTAATTTGTACTATATTTTAATATAATAATTAATATTCAAAGATCAACACGCAAAAGATAAATGAGACTCTTAGAACCGGATGGAGGTAGTACAAGACAACTCACTCCAACACAATAAGTATATATACATCACACTATAGTAAACAGTTCGATTAAAATTAAACACAACGTCTAGGGAATTACTATCTAAACGTGTTTGTAATAATTTTAAAATTACCTCCGACAACACTTATCGCAAGATCATTCAAATCCCATTCAATCTCATACCCCATTTACAATCCCTAACTAATCTCATTGTAATGTAAAACTCCTAATCTTTGATTTTCTTCTAAATTTATAAATCAAGTCTATCTACATTTAAACAAAGTCTTATCACTTTGTGTCTACAACTCATTCACGAGCACAAAAAAGTTCGTAAAAACTAACAACAATGTTCTCGAAGAAATTAAGTATCATAAAGACTCAATTCTACTTATGTCATATTGTCATCATTTTTCACTTTTTCGAA